TGGGTGAGACGAATCCGTTGGGATACGTGCGAAGGTACTTAGAGAGCCCCCGGTGGCTTTCAACGCGACTAAACAGCCAAAATACCAACCATAACCACCACCACTACATCAAGACCAATAGCAACAACAGAACCAAGCTGAAGCAACGCCGGGCCAGGCCAGGCGAGGGTAAGGCTAAGCTAGGCTGCTACGCTTGAAACCACCCCCGTCGCAGGGAGGGAAGCTACATAGCCCCAAGCAGCCCCTTAGAAGTACCTACACTCAAATTTCGTGCAACGAGCAAATGCACGTTCTTCTTCTTTGGCACACGCACTACTTCATGGTTCGTCAAGTTGCCTCGTGACCCCCCCCTCTCTCTCCCATCGCGACGCCCCCCGTTGCTGCTGCCTGCGTCGATCGACCCCCCCGCCGCCCAGGCGCGTATGGCGGCCGACGTAGCGGATGAGTACTGCGACGGGGAGATTCGCCTCACGGTGGACGAGAAGCTGCTGTTCCCTAACGTGGACACGGACAAGTTGCCGGAGATGACCAAGATGCCGTTTTTCGACAAGTTCCCGGTGGTGAGCCAGCTACGTTACGCGATACGACACAAAGCACACCCGGAGGATAACACCCCCCTCATACCGCACCCGATGGTTTTGATTTTACGGGTCAACACGAACCCAAATGCAATTGAAAGTACCTTCACGAGTGTTTGACCGACGTAGATAAGGCATCGTTGCACAATAAAGTGCCGAAGGGAACATGTGTGAGAGGTCGACGTGTTGACAGTATCGCTGGTAGTATGTTTCTTGCGCCATTCCACACCTTCGTGTTCCTCTGCGAGTAAGTCTCATTTGGTTTGGTTTTCAACTATTTATGCTTTCTGGTTCCCTTTTGCACCTCGAACGTACATTTTCGTCCCTCTTCAACCTCTCTCGTCCCTGCTTCGGTGCTGATACCTGTTGTTGAACGCCTTGAGACTGATGTGTAGCAGAGACACAACTATGGTGTTCTCGCGTCTTCATTTTTTTTTTTTTCTATTTCCTCATTCGCATTCAGCGGCGGTCCTTGTGGGCGACCCTGGCCTGCAGCCACCAGCTGCAACCCCACAAGCCCGACGAAACCATTTGTGTGCCGTTGTTCGCCTCTTCGATCTCCTTGTTGCGTAGAGAGCAAGTGCATTGCGGCTATCAAGAATGCGGAATATCCTGCGAGTCACGTCGGAAAAATCAATACGTCGGGTGCGTCGCGGTGTTCCTGACCTTGACCAGTGAGGTGGATACCCATCAACCGCCGCCAATGCTCCCCCCGATAATGTCACCCATGTTCACACATATCACACACCTAAATGTCCCTTCCGAGGCCCTTCGTCCTACGGAGTCTGCCGATTAGAAGGTCGCTTCATTTTTTTTTGCTCCCGCTTCAAATAAGACTGACGTATTATCACTGGTCAGCCGGTAACATCCCGGGTTTTCTCTGCTATTCAAGGAATAATACGCAAACCATGCTCACCTCGCCGCCGCCTGTCCCCAACGCCCATCACCCCGGCCCCTCCACAGGACAAGAAGCCGACGATCACGTCTGGTGTAGTGTCATGCACGGGGTCCCAGTACTGCGGGCTGGGCCTGGTAGAGACGAAGAACAGAGCGGTGGACTATGCGGGCAAGCTGGATGCGATGCTAGACTTCCCCGAGGGAACCAAGCCGCCGCGCATCCACTGGACAGGGTGTCCCAACAGCTGTGGCCAGGCGCAGGTATGAAGGAGGGGTAGGGGTAGGGGGGGGGGGGGGGG